CACAATTTGTGTGTGACACACCCATACACATGATTCAAGAAAGATTGGCTTCTTTGCCTGTGTTACCTCAACAATTATTTAAGTGTATTAATATTTTAGTTATTAGTACAAGTTTGTCATTAAAAATCATCACCTCCAGCCTTGAGAGTCTTACTTCATTGACAAACACAAGAGTCTTGTCCTTGTTTTTGCTATTACTATACTGTGGGGGGTTTTTAAATTATTTTTAGTTTTACAAATTCACTTTTTTAAAGTCTGCATTAGGACCACATTTAAGAATAACAAAAGGCTGAATTAATGTTCATTTATTAAAGGATTTTGAAAGTTTGTCTCATGAAAAGCAATTAGTAAGTGTCAGCATTTGCTTGTGGATTAACTGTAGCTCAGGTTAACAACTGACAAATCATGCAGACAGATTACCAAACTGATGACTACAAGGTGAAATTACATGTCTACCTGAAAAAAAACTCCAGCAACAAAGAGCAAAAAAACCTCTCAGACAAAAAAACCAAAAAAAATGCAAAACACAAAAAGAGACCCCGAACAAACCCTCTTATTCCCCACCCCCAAAATCTTCCTTGGGAAGGTATTGGAGCTCTACAAGTACATGGTCATGAAGCTGTGGCAAAGCTCACTTGCTGATCTTAATTGCTAGGATGTATTTCTAAATAATTAACTTTGCATGTGTCCATATGTGTGTGTGCACATTTTAACAGGATGTCAGTTTTCATCTGTCCCCTGCCTTGTAACTGCCGTGGTCAAATGTTTTACGTTGCTCCATGAAACCACCTTCCTTTCTCAGGTTTGAGAGTGTGAAGTTGTAGTAGTATTTCTGTGTAAATATCTGCTGGGCTGGAATGTCATAAAGCATCAGTTACCGTGAGTTCAATAAATACAGAGCTGTGCTATGTTGGGGGAAGGAACAAATGTGGAAATAATGTTCTGTGGCACACAATGGAGTCATTTTCTAAACTCTTCCAAGAGGTGTTTTCAACTGTAAAGGTTGTATTCAGGTGGATATCTTGTCCTTCAGTTAAGGGTCTTTAGAGGAGGAGGAGGAATTAAACTTCTGGACTCCTGGGTTGCAGATGTCCATGGGTCAGTTGTATGTAATTTGTGCACTTCGATTTAGACATTTTAGGGAAGACAAATATCCATTAGACAATGATAATACTTCTCTACTTCAATATGATTTTTCTTTGAAATTTAAATGGTTAAATGCTATGTCAGAGCCTTGGCTGAATTACTGGAATCCCTCTCAGAACACATTGTGTTAGGTAACAAGACCAGACACACTTCAACTGCGAACTTGAGTATAATAAAAGCTCAAGTATAGGTTGGTTGCTCTTAGTAGGGATGTCTTGCTGACATTTTAGGTACATCTCTTTCTTAAAATATTTTAAGGCTACCCTAATTGTTCCTATATTTATAGAAAGAACAGCATCCTACATTATTGCACGTATGCTGTTTACCTGCATGCCTCCTTTGGGAAAAACTGTTCTGTAGTTGGAGTAGTGATTTATTGTATGTATGAAGTGAGCAGGAATTACTGCCAGGGAAGCTGAGGAGGGGTTTGGCTGAAGGCTGAGCAGGCCTGTAGTCTTCACCAGCCCTGGAAGACTCTGCACAAACCCATGTCATCTCTTACTATGTTCTTTCTCTGTTCATGATCCCTAATGCAGCCACTGACAGATGTGGTGTGGGGAAGCCAACTCTCCTTCACTGGTCAGGGTGCTCCATGTCTTACAGAAGCAAATTACAGCTCCAGAATGAAACCTAGAGCGCATTTTTAAGGGATTCCTTCTCAGCCACCTCTTGCCTGCAGAGGTGTCAAGGCCCTGGCAGTGGCAGGTCCCCAGTGTGACACTGGGGTGCAGCAGTTGTGCTGGGTGTGCTCCCTGAGTACAGCTGCAGGTCTGTGGCTCATGGCATTCCCTTTGCATTAATGGCCCCCCCTTTTACACCAGCGATTTCCCTGAATGTCAGCTGCTGGGGGAATAGTCAGCAAAGATGCACACCTGTGCAGTATGGTAAAAATTAGTAATCTGCCACACAAAATGAAAAGCTTAGCAAGTCTAAGCTGATAAAGTGTTTCCTTAGTGCAGAGGTGTCATAGCTTGTTTTAAGGAATGGCGGAAAGTTTAGGATTCATCGTGATCCTTTTATATCTGGGTGTTCTTTTCCTTTGTAAAATCTAACAAAAAAGTGGTCTTGTGCTCCTGTTTGAGACAGAGGCACATGAAGCCTGTTGCTACATTAGGACCTTTGATATCCATTTTAGATTAAATCCTTGTCTAGGATTCTTGCCTTTATTTAGGAAATGTGGCTGGGTTTTTTTTCTTTCTTTTCTAGTGCTTCTGTGTGTTTTTTCTCTAACATACAGCTTGGGCCTTGTTTCTCTTCTGTATGTTTTATATGTGGAGATGCTAACAAAAGTCCTTGTGAATGTTTTAATTTTTTATTTTATATATTTACTCTTCACTTTAAAGCTTATAGATGCATATCTAATACCCTAAATTAGGTTTGGTTGTAATAGTTTAAAGGGAATTGCCTTGAAACATCAAATACTTTTGTAGTGCCCTGTGGTATGATACAACTGAAAGATGTATTTGGACCTTATAATGGATTTGTAGTAGTGCTTTTCTGTACCTGTATCATCTGTAAAAATAGTAATCTGAAACTAATTTTGTAGTAAATTCTTGGTGTGATGGTTTAGAACTCTAGAAGACAAATACTTCCTTTTCTTACAGACTAGACCAAACAGCTGAACACACGTGTTTGGGTCATTGCAGCAATAAGGAAACCATTGAAAGCAGTGGCTCAGAGGATCCTCCACTTAGATCTATTGAAATGTCTTGCTCTAACTTTGTGTCATACTCAAATAACTGCCCTAAGGGCAGCCTTAAATAGGTTTTCAGAAGTTACAGACCTGGTGACCTGTGGAAATATTTCATGTCATTTTGTTTCTTGTGGACTAAGAAACACCAAACGACATTCCCGGTGTCACGCTCCTCCTCAGAAGGTGCAATTCTTAACTTTTTCCTCTATGGCTCTCCAACTCTGACAGGAAATACTAGAACTTGTGTGTTGTGGTTTGTTAAAAAATGTAAATTTCTGTTCAAAATTGGTTGTCAGTCTCTCAGAAAATTAGAAGTAATTAAATAGAAAGTTCTACAGATTTGTGCCATTTCTGTACCCTCTCATCTCAAGATGGTGTGAGAAGCAGACAATTGAAATAACTTGCTGCTATTCCTTTCCAGCTAATTTGATCTTGTTCCTTAATTCTGACAGATTGTTTTTAATTTTCCCATCTGTTCCATAAAAATCTCAAGTGATTGACTCCTAGGAAAAAATAATGTCTAATAGCTGAGCCATTTTTAATGAGTTGGTATGAGTTATTTAACGAGACATGCCGAAGAAGACAAGCCAAGGGGAAGATTGGGCCTGAGGTGGTGGATGTAAGGAAAGGTAAAGAGCAGCCATATGTTTCAGGAAGCTTTCACTCTTCATCCACAGCTTTAGGCTGCTGCTGTCTCCAGTTTCAGGCAGTGCACATCCTTAGGCTCGTGGACAAAACAACAGAGGTTCACTAGCAGTAATTCCTTTTCCCCTTTTATTTAGTGCAGTGTCTGCCCTCAGACAGTACCTATTGGGAAAGGAACAGCCAAGTAAAGGAAAAGAAAATACCAAAGGATAAAAGAATAATATTTAAGTAAGCTTAAAAATATTATGGTCCGTGGTTTAACTTCATTTCTTCTGGCAATCTACTCTGTAACTCCCAGATATTCTAGTCTAGGCCAGAAAGAACCCCTATGTCAGTAAACAGAGCTAATGTTCTCCTCCAGCCTCTCTGAAGGCTAAAACATTTGCTTTAAAATTCCCTGCAAATGGCATCTCCTGGAAGGCATCAATATGCAGTACAGGTCTTTGAGAATAGCAACCATGAATATAAATGTTAACATCTGGACTTGTCCCTTCTGTTTTGGTTTGTATATATTATTATAATAAACATTAACATTATTTTTAATAATCATCAAATAGCAGTTTCTCTGGCAGCTGGTGACTTCATTATTAAATCAAATAGTGAAAATAAATATAAAGGTCTTTTACAAGGAAAGTTGAAAGTTTGACTCAACCCCGCAAATATGCCATTGTTAGACTAAGCCATTGTAGAATTAATAGAATAATGAATTAACTTTCCAGTTGCATAGAGTGAGGCATAACAAATGAGAGAATGCTGCCATGGAAATGAGCAAAATATACACTGTTTTTTGCAGGTGGCAGTGGGCTACCAACTAAGGAGAGAGAGACTTTTGTCTGCATTTTCTTAAACGACTAAAATATGAGAGTGTGCAGAGAATATCAGTACTCCACCTTTTTAGAGCATCTCCAAATACTCAACCCGTCAGGTTTCCCCATGGCAGGTATTTCAAGCAACCAAAGAACCATTAATGTGGTAGCACTGGAAACTACTTCTAGTTTAAATCTGTTCAGAATTGGACTTGGATGGTGTCTGGTTTAAGGCCTTAGCTCATAAGCAAGCAGCTACAGAGACATGCTCTGTGCTTGTACAGAAGTCTCTCGTCTGAATGACACTAGACTGTGCCTAAGATTTTGACTATCCTAATTTGGGATTGATATAAGAGTAGAAAATGCTTTTAATTTTGAGGATTTTTTCCTATGTAATGCCAATGTTCTTAGACTGGAAGTTTTGGTTTTTTTTTTTTCCTATTGGGAAGAAGGAATTGATTGGTGCTTATTATGCATGGCAGGAGACAAAAGAGACTTAATTTTTGGTAAATTCTCATGGGTTTTGGGAACGTGCCCCATTATCTATCCCTCTAGACAGATTTTGGACAAGCATCTTGTTGCATTGCACCTTTGGCAATAAATCTATGTATTTATGTAGTTAAAATTAAATTCACAAGATGCAAGTTTAATAGTTCTGCATTAATCCTTCATAAAGCATTGATCTTTTGTTTTTTTGTCTTCCTCCTCAGTGTGTCAATCCTGATCTTTAATACTTCCCGGCAGTGCTTTGTTGTGGTGAAGCAGTTCCGCCCAGGTAATCCTCTTTTTTAGACTTACTTTTGCTCTGTAGTGAAGCAAGCTTTTAAGGGTTTAGCAGTTAAAAGTTAGTGCATCTGTGGTGATAAAATCTTTGTTCTATATTCTGTTTCTTTGTATGATAGCCTGTCCTGTTCAGTTGGTCAGAATTTCTAACCAGGGAAATTTCCATTACAGATGAAACAAGTGATCAGGGTATCCTTACATTCTGCTTTTGGGCTGGTTATTGAACTCTTTTGGATGAAATAACAAACAGCTCTACAATGACGATGCAAGAAATTGCTTTAATTTGAAGTTCCTTCTTGACCTATCTAGTATTTAGTAGGCAGCTTCTGTGCAGAAGCTGGTGTGTTGTTTTTTTTTTTTTTAATTTTGTCTTAAATATTCCTCTTTTTTACTGTCTTACTGTGCAGTGTATACTTGGGAATTTAAAATGAGGGAAATTCAGGACTGTATGATTTTTCATCAGTATGTGTACAGCTTCATTTTACCAGTTGTTATTATGCATTTAGGTTAATATACTTTTTTTTCTGAGTCTTTATATCAGTTATTTTCATTCAAAGTAATATTTACTTTCTGGAATTTAAAGGAAATGCATATTCTCTGCATGTTAATTAAAAGAAATCACAAGATATTTCACTGACTGTTGCTAAGAGACCGTTTCAAGACTGTTCATGGTAGACTTTAGAGGAAACTTTCGAGGGTAGTGTCATGCTGCCCTTTCTCACTGTCAGCGATGGGCAGCCTCTCCAGTGCTGTGCAGCACTGTTGCACTGGCAGTGCATGCGTCTCAGGAAGTGCTAATTGACTGTCAGAAAGTGTTTGTTTATTTGTTTATCAATAATGTCTTTTATTTGCCAGCCAAATAAAATGGCTCCTGCAGTTGTTGCTCTCTTCGAGGCAATCTTAGGCAGAAACCTTCGTGCATGTGCATATATATATATATACATATATATGCGTACTAAGCAGCAAAATGTCAGCAGAAAAAATTCATTACATTATCTGTATGGAAGTGTCAAATCAGCCTCAAAAAACTGGACTGTCCCTGGAGTTAAACCATTCCAGAGGCTGGAGCTGCTCAGAAACCTGCCCTTAGGGACAGTGGCCAGTCAGACGCCCTATAGCAGTTCAGTGATCACAGCCATGCCCTGACATTACTCACATCCCTGTAATTATAATTATATTTCCATTCCATGGTTATTGTCTGCCTTGGTGCCTGTTCCACAAAGCAAAAACAAAGGCTGGTGCTTTTCTCATTGCTGGATCCTACCAGGGTCCCACCACGAAGGCAACAGCTCCTTGCTTGTGAGCGAACAGCTGCCGCTCGCTCACCAGGCACGGCCCCTGCACGTGTGCTGGGTGACATGTGCTGGCCTTTCCTTGGGCTGTGGTGTTGTGGTCAAGTTTTCCCACTGATGTCTGTGCTGCTTGTAAAGGCAGTCATCCCTCCTTGCTTGTACATTCCCACCCCATTCCCTTATGCAGTGACACCACAGGTCCTATATGGCTGCAAACAGAAAGTTTTGAGGACTAGGCAGCTCACCTGACTGGCCTGAGGGAGTTAATTCATGCTGACTTGAGGGGTGGCAGGAGCACACAGTGAGGCAAGACCATATTTTTCAGTGTGCTCTGGGCTTAGATCATCTTGAATGATCATGAAATCACACATCTGGGTGGAGCAGAGAGAAGAAAGTTACATGCATATGGCAGTTGTTTCCATATCAGTTCCTTACTTGTGACTGATTGGCAAAGGTCTTGGGCAATGCTTATTTAAGTAGTCAATTGACCACACATTTTCCAGTATAATAAAATTATATGTTCCAGGGAAGGGCGGGGGTAGCACCTATGAACACGTGCCCTGTTTTTTTTCACTGTAAGTATAATGCCCTTTCAGTGGGTTGTGATGTTTGGTTTTCTATTGGCTTAAAATAAATGGTATCAAAGATTTGAATAATAAGCCATGTTCCATTTCAGGAGGTGCAAACCACTGGTGCTATCAAAGAGAAATCAGAAATTTAGAGAGGAGCTAGCATACATTCCCAAGTCAGCCAAACTCCACTAAGTCCTCAGTCTGTACTGTTCTTCCTCTTGGATAGCAAACAAGTCCTTGTATAAGTCACCTAACAAGGCTGCTTTGAATAACAGTTGTGATCTTATCTGTTTGGTTGAGCCATCTATCCTTTGTCCCAGCTTGCAGAAAGGAAGGCAAATGCATCAGTTCTACTGGAGTTCCCACTCTGAGACTTTTTACAGCTGAGTAGCTCCAGGGTAATTAATCAATATGTTTAACAAGGGCCAGATAGTTGTTTGAGTCATAGAATCACGGAGTCAGTAAGGTTGGAAAAGACCTCCGAGATCATCAAGTCTAACCTTTGACTGAACACCACCTTATCAACTAAACCATAGCACTAAATAATGTAATGAAGTAATTCTCCCTGATGTCCAACTTGAACCTCTCCTGGCACAGCTTGGGAGTTCATGCTGCTGCTGCTCATGGCATGTGTCCATCTGACCGTGGAGGGTGGTGATGACAAAGTGGCAGTTTCTACCCGAGGAGCACAAGCCATTGGAAGACAAGAGAGCAATCTGGCACAGGGCTGGTGGATGGGTGACTGTGCTGGGAGCTGAGCTCTTTCTTGTGATTTCTGCTCTCCAAACTCTTTATTACCCAGTGCATCACTTGTGCAGTCCATTTTACACCTTCAGTAGAGGTATGGGAAACTCTCTGTTCCCAAGCAGGCAGCTTGGTTTTCTAGGCTTTGCTTATCTATGAGAGACAAACTGAGTTTGAATCTTTGCGAGCCAGGTGATATTAATTTCGTAATCAGACTCCTTGGTGAATGCTCTAATATTTGGACTCTCATAGAAGTGGCTGGTACTGCTTCTTTTCTTCCTTATCTTCAGAGAAAAGCTGTTACTGGGCTTTAAGTGTTGCCATATCTCAGGACTTTGCTCTGAAGAGGACTGCTGGATTAGGTCCTTCTGGGAATGTAGGTTTTGATCTACGTGGATCCCAGCTGTGCTGAGGGAGAAGGGGAATGGCAGGTGCCTGATGGAATGACAGGATGGGTTTCAGGGATACAACAGACTTATAATAGAGGGTTAGTTCAGTCACAGTTTCATATTTCTGTACTCTACACTCTTACCTGCATCCTGTTTTGATGCCCAGGGCTTTTAATGGGATGCATGTGTTGTTCCTTTTTTTATTTTCTTGTATGGATACATCAATACTAAAATAGAAATAAAACTTTGAGAGGATTTGGCTCCTCTCAGAGAAATCTTAGACGTGGTTGTCATTTATGGTAATTGTCATAGCTTTTAGAAATTTTTGGAGTAATGACAATAGACACCCTTCAGGGATCTGTCCCTTAGAGCTGGCAGGGAATATTTTTTCTTTTCTGGCTCACTGCTGCATTTTAAAAAGAAAATTGAGCTCTAGTCATGTTTTTCAAGTGGAAATGGAGGCTCCTGTCCTTACTTGTTTGATTGAAAGGCCTGGATGTCCCTAAGACAAGCAGCTTTCAAAGTTCTAACTTCTGGAGAAAGATTAGGTTTTGGGCAGTGGACTGATCTGGACATCTCCCTTTCAAGTGTTGATCTTGGTATTCTTCATTTCTGAGGTGTCAAAATGTGCATTGCAGAAGGAGCCCAGGCACTGATTTCTGGAGTGTAGACTCTGCCTCAGAGACCAGGGGCTTAAGAAGTTACTGTGGTACTTTACTGTTAAGCAACTTCATTTCTCTATAGACCTTGTTTTAAGAAATAGCAAGCCAAATCCAGTACCTGGAAGGACAAAAAGTTGTCAACTAAACTTGAGTTCTTATATACCAGTTCTGTGAGATATAGAATGGGAAATAAAAGGTAAACTCACTTGAAAACCATGTTATGCGTATGTGAAATATGCATGTAAAATATTTTAATGGAATAAAAATAGTCTCAAACTTTAAAATAGTTTTATTCAGGGTGGTTTATAACAGCCTCGTGGTAACTTTTCATGAAAAGCAAGGGGATAGACATAAGGAAATTTCAAAGAAGAAACAAGTGGGCTTATACCTGTAAGTTAAAGTTATAATGAATTGTCAGTGTTGACATCCAGCCCTGCAGTTCTCACTCAGGCAAAATTTCTGTTGACATGAGTGAGAGTTTTGCTTAAATAAGAACTAAAATCTGGCATTTGCACTTTCTTTAGGAGCGCATTACAGTGGCAGCTGTTTGTAGATAAATTGAAGAAGTCTTTTTTAGACTCCACACAGGAATCTGTGCAAGGAACTATACGTTCAAAAGAGAATTTTTTTTTTCAAACAAACATAAATGCTTTTCAGATCCTTTCTAAATAACAGCTGAGTTGACAGACTGAAAGACTCATCATTGTGCACATGGTATTTAATGTGCAACCCAACTTTTCTGTGAAATAACTGCATAGTTTAAATTAAATCCTGATATCCACATTGCCCAACAAATGGAAGCTGTATGGCACTTCTGGCACTTGGATTTCTTGGATGAACTAGCTTCCTTTTTCAATTTTTATTTATTTTAAGGTGTTCATGAATCCATTCCAGATGATGTAAGCACAGATACAGTTTAAAGAAGAATTTTACAAACATGGCAAGAGAACCTTTGTTCTTTAAAATTCCAGTTTCAGTGTGTCATTATTTTAATAGATAACACAGCTGAATTCCTTGTTACTCTCAAGTGCTCTTATGGTTATAAATTTCCAGGCAAAATTTGTGTACCACCCTTTTTTCTATTTAATATGAATAAACTAATATACTCCCCCCTTGTTTCTTTTTCTTTTGTGTTTTGTTGTTTTTTTTTTTAAGCTGTTTATATGTGCGAAGTAGAAAGGCATCATCCTCAAGTCTTTCAAAATCAGGACAAGGAGAAGTTCTCTTGCCTGGAGGATCCCTTACCTGCTGTGGTTGGAGTGACCTATGAACTCTGTGCTGGCATTGTGGACAAACCAGACCTTTCTTTAGAAGAAATTGCATGTGAGGAAGTCCTGGAAGAGTGTGGCTATCACATTTCCACTGCAGACCTGAGGAGGATCACTTCTTATAGGTAAACAGCAGTAAAAAGTTAAAACCCTCTGCGTTTCATTGTTTCACAGATTGCTGCAGTGTCCTGAATGTTCCCTCTTCCCTTATTTAAGCAGTGTGTTGGAGGAACGTGGACGTCTGAAAGTACATGAAAGGTGTAATTTTCAGCAAGTGAGAGGAGTATTCACAGAGACTTAAGGAATTATAAACTCATAATTATGGGATTGAATTCACAGGAAGAATCATACTATTGTGACTTGTTCCAAAGACTGTTAGGAGTGGGAAAAGTTGCATTTGGCTCCTCAAATCAGTTTGTTACAGCACTAGAAAACAATCCGTCTTTACCATATCTGGTGTTTTCCATCTCTGATTCTTATTATTCTGATTAACAGTAAAACTGCCTAAGATGCTCTCTGATTAACCTTTAACATGACTTTGCAGAAGCATGAGAACTGTGCCATTAGATCTCTTCATAGTATTTGGTTTGTAATTAAACTTTATTTTAATTGGACAGTAGTTACTGTTATATATGAAGATTTTGCTGATTTGACTGTGAAAATTTTACATTATATTTTTGCAAGGTTTCAAATAGTTATTGAAATAGGTTTTTTAACATGTTTTAAAACATTTATTAGGATTAAGAGGAAATTTTAATATGTAAGTGGAAAAATACAAAATGTGAGTTGGTTGGGGGGAGAAAAAACCCCTCAAGAGAAACTTTGCACACGGCTTTAATCCTATTATATCTCATTCCCAGCTTTTAGTATTGTTATCCAAAATGTGTGTATGTTTGTATTTTACAGAGAAAGCAGCAGGTTTTTTACTTTCTTTATTTTGCTTGACATCTCCATTGAACTAGGCCCTGTCATTGGTTTTTAATTTGGGAATTGAATACAAATCCACAGCTGTCAATCCTGGCAAATGTTATTTCCTGCTGGATTAACAAGCAGTGCTTCTGTTGAGGGGAGGGGGTGAATCACAGGAGCTGTCTTTTACAACTCATTGAAACCAGATTAAGGGTTTGTTCTACTGAAAGAAAAAGTGTCTTCTAGATTTATGAGCAAAAGCTGTCTATAGAATTTCATAGCTTGGGTGACACTGACAGGCTGTAGCATGCAGATATATACATATGTATATGTATGTATATATGTGCATACAAATGCAAAACAGGAAAAGTAGAATATAATTTCCGTAGCTGTAGGAGGTTGTCTCTTGAGTTTATAAGTTTGACTCAATATTAATGATTTATATGTATCTAAAACTCTGTATGTTTTGGTGTTGATAAATGTCTTTGTATGTTACAGGTGGTTGTTCTTTCAGTCGCCTTTTTTTTTTTAATTGCACTGACTTGTGAAGAGTGTATACAATTAGAGTTTTCTTTGTTGAGACCCATGCAAGGGGCTCTTAATCCTCCATTGTCTATGTGGACACAGCTTTCTGCCCATGGAGATCCATGCTGAAGTCAGAAGGGCCTGTAGAGTATTTACTTTTTTAGATTAATGTGAAAGGTTGAAGCCTCAAAGATGGTATTTTACCATTTCTTTTGTTTGACTTCCCATGCTCTGCATTAGAATTTTGTTCTAAATGTCTTCCTGTTAGGAGTGTCCTGTTCTTCTTCCTTCAGTCAAGGATTGGAGAATTTTTCTGATCCTTGATGCAAAGACAGGAAGTAATTGGTTCACTTATGGTCTGCTAAGGACATTTTTTCTGTAATGGCTGTATTACATATAAGAATTCCTGGACCATTTCCAAGTGTAGCAGGTTTTTCCAAATGGTTTATGCTGCTGTTTCTTGCTGTGACTGTCAATACAAAGCACTGGCATAAAGCATTACAGTAATGCATGTGCATGCCATTAGAATTACAGTTCATCATGTCCTTCTGCTCTTATCTGCCATTCCACCGATCCGTGTAATAGTTGCTCTGCCTTATTTATTGATCCAGTGCATTGGGTCAGAGAAAAGTCTTAGAAAACAGAATTGGAAGGAATTTTGGGGGGGGCTCTCATCTAGACTGCTCCTCTTCCAAAACTCAGGCTCAGCTGGATTGACATCCATTGTGACAAATGTGCATCTGTGCTTCCTCTAAAAATCTAATCATTCCATGGCCTCTCTTGGAAACTTTTGGCATTCTGTCTGAAGTGTCTTATCTATCTGTACTATGACAAATTTTTTCCTCATGTCTTGCCTAAATTTTCCTTTCTTTACTTAAAGTGCAAGACTTACTACTCTGTTTCCAGTGGACATTAAGTATTCCTTCACCTTTCACCTATTTGTTAGAATGTATCTCTTCTTTATTTTATTTTTGCCTTTGCAAAGCTGTCTTAGTTGATTTAAGCTTTCTGTCTAGATCATGTTTTCTAGATACCTGATCATTCCTTCTGCTGTCCTCTGCCTTCTCTCCATCTAGTCCACGTATTTCTTAAGAACTTAGTGCCCAAAGTGGAGCACAGTACTTTAGTGGGGGCTTTCCTGGATAGACTGGAAGCATTATCTCCCTGGTCTTAAGAATAATTTTCTTTATACTTTATACACTGTGGTATGTTGTTTGCCTTTTTTGCAGAGGCATTACACTGTTGACATATTCATCATCCACAGTGCCTCCCCTATCTCAAAACTAAGAGTTGTACTCGATAATCACTGTGGGACCCTTCCAGCTCAGAATATTCTCTGATTCTGTGGTACTGCATTGTCATTCATCTCCTGTCCATAGTTGTGCCATTCCTTATTGCTGCCTGAACACGCAGCCCTGAACTTGCCTTTACTGAATTGCTTACAATTTTTTTCAGACCATTTCTCCAAGTTGTCGGGACAATTTTGAATTCTAATATTCATCTCTAGCTTCTTCTACATAATCTGTCTCAGCTTTGCTATCTCAAAGGTAAAATATTGAATTATGTTGAATAAAGGATGGTCCTCAGTGGAATTCTGTTTAATTTTATTTCCAATCTGACAGTGATATCCATTCTATGAGTACCATTTTCCTACTAGCTTTGCACGTATTTCACAGTTTCTTCAATTTCTAAGTATATCATTATCTCCTAACTTCTTAATGAACTTGTCACATTAGACAGGGTTCAAAGCCCCAGTAAACTGAAGTTGTGTTGTTTGTGTTGCTGCCCCATCAACAAGACCCGTAGCTGATGTTTGATTGCAGTTGATCTGTTCCTGATAAATCTCTTAACTGTTGGTCCTTTCCTGACACAAATAAAACCACATTAAAATATTTAGATAACTGTGATTAATAATTACTGAGTGAAGTCTATTAAATTTTTGTAGATAAAAACTCCTAATTGTGTGCACAGTGAAAAGGCTTCATACAAACAAGAGTTTCTGTGTCATCACAGCATTTGGTCTGAAAGCAAGGAGCTGTCTGCTATTCCTGATGACACCCCTTTCTGCAATCATGGTTATGAGAAGGAAGTTGCCTGCCTAGAATAAAAGCAGGAGTTGATCTAGACCTGACAGAAGGACATGGAAAGCAGAAGACACATCAAATGTAAAGGGAGAAATGGTTTTGGCTGGGGAAGTCAATATGGTTCTGTGGCTGATGAACTAAGAAGGGGAGGGCACAGACAATGCATAGGGAGAACTTAGACTATGGGTAAAAATGGAATAGAAAATCCTAGAGTGGAAAAAGAGGAAGAAGAGATGAAGGAACAATGTAGAGAAAAACCATGGGCTGAGAACTAAATGGACCTGGGGAAAGTACTTTGTGTTGGAGAAGAATTCTCTGTAAGGAAATGAGGAAAGTACTTGGACTGTATTCAACAGAACTTTGCCCTGTTCTCAAGCAGTGGGAGCAGTACAGACTGGAGTCATCTGAAGATAGCAGGGGTTTTCCTCATGTATTATCAGGGCCTGTAGCAGTGGTTTTGGGGAATTTTTTTTTTTTTATGTTTCTCAGCTAACAGGAAAAGTTTGGCCACAATACTGGCACATGCAAGTGACCCACTGGACCCCATTATTAAGCCCTGTCAAAGCCCCTATGACATAATGCTCATCAGATGGAAGTCAGGCACTGAATTAAGCAGATCTCAGACCCAAGTACCTTGAATGATCCACAGAGTAGCTGTGGAATCAATGAGGAATCAGGAAAGAAGCCAGGAGTTGGGGAATTGATGCCAGTTGAGTAAGAATCTTTGGAACAAGTTGTTCCAGCAGCAGGAGGACAGTATGGTGTGGGTGAATGAAGGAGGCTGGATTGGGGGAGGTAACAAGAAAGACAAACATATTAAGAGGGACTTGACTGGAGGAGGACAGAGGAATCACACTTTGAAAATCAGAAATATCTGCTCCTATTATAGAAAAATACCAGACAGAAGATGAATTTAAATGCAGGGGGTTCATGTTGCTGTGTAGACAGAGGCAGGGATGATTCTGAAAAAAACCTGTATTGTTTGCAGCCTGTTTGGTGAGTTTCCTCTTTCATCACCACTACACAAATTGCTACTTTTGTGCTTGGTATTCAGTAAGTAACCTTATTTTGATATTTCACAAAGTTTGTTTTCTATGCTGGCAGCAGCTAATCCACTTTTGGAGGCTTCCTGAAAGTTCCGGTGGCTACTGGTGTCCTGAGTTCTTGTCAACTGTAGGTATGGCATCAGTCAAAAATAGCATAGATGGCAGTGGTGAGTGGTGTAAAAAAACCACTTAGCTCAATAATAAAGTGATGCCAGTTCTGTGGTATTGTAATTATAAACTGAGGCTTCATGAAGGTTGAAGGTTGTCAGTTGAACTGTCCATTTTTAAAAGCTCTGAAAGAAATCTGTGAACTTCCCTCAAGGTTTTGGGGTTCTTTCCCAAGTGCAAAATTCTGTAAGTGAATTACTTACTTTGGACTTACTCATATATCATATATAACAAATTTTCTATCTGTCATGGGATCCCAGCAGCTTTCATATTGAATCCATGTGAAATTCAACTGTGGGTTAGTTTCCTAGGTTGAAGTACTTCCAGCCATCTTCTTTGAGACTTGTTTCCTTACAAGACAGGGACAGGGAAATGTGTTGGGTTTTCGTTGTT